AGGTGTTTACTCAAATAATGTCACTTACATGCTTGGAAGTTCGATACTACTGTCTGGAATAGTACAGTTGAGTATAGGCTTACCACGACCTTGGCATGTATTACCAAGTTACTTATGGATTTCGCCCACCGCCTATCCGCTAGGAACCACGTAACATTTCTCAGTACTTGGTTAAGGGATTAACCCTCGACCTCATATCCCGCTCCAACACTAGCTAAGGACTTGGAAGAGACTCGCCCAAACCCGTGGCCTATCCAAGCACTACTCTCACCCAAAACCATTGGTCTATCCAAGCACCACTTTCATCCAAACTAGTGGTTTATCCAAGCACCACTCTCGAGAGACTTTATGTGAGATCCTCTAGTTCAAAAACATTTTTCCCTCTCCTCAAGTCCTGGGCTAAACACATGCCATAAGACATCACATGCAAACAATGCACCATACATCATACATGGTTAATCCATCACTATGATCAATATCATCCTCATATAAACATACATACATATCATATCATGTTTAAACATTCATATATATTATTCCCAAGCATAAATGATGGAACTAGGTGAGGAGATTGATGTTCCTTCACTTTGCTCCATGCTTAGGACCGTGAACTCTTGAGGTAGACCTTTGGAAGAAGCTTGAAGCTCCATGAAGAGGTCTTCAATGGAGGAGAAGCCTCAAGGTGGTTCGGTTACTCCTTGCTTAGTGTAGAAGCTTGAGGAACCAATGGTTAAGGTTGAAGAACCTTGGTGAAACCTTAGAGAGAATTCTCCACGGTTTTAGAATGGACTCTTGATGAGAGAAATTTGAATATTATTTCTCAATTTGTTCAAAAGTGATTACAAATGAAGTAATTAGAAATATATAGGGAAAGGTAGCTTGTAGGAGAAGCTATCCTTAACCATGGTTCACTAGGAACCATGGTAGGGTTAGCTTTAACTCCCACGGTTTAGGTAGCTTCTAGGAGAAGCTAACCTTGACCATGGTTCACTTAAGAACCATGGTAAGGTTGGCTTAACCTCCCTTGGTTTAGTAGCTTGCAAGGCAAGCTTCAAAAACCAAGAGAAGGAGCTTGGAAATCCAGCCAAAGGGAAAGCATTTGGGCTAGGCGGCCTTGGTCTCAAATGGCTCCAAGATTTAATTTGAAAATCTTTGATTTGGTTTAGTTAGGTTCATCATATGATGATGAAACCTAGCTAAATCAAATCTATGAAAAATTAGGAGCAAAATGAGTCCAATATGCAAAATTTTGCCTAGGCCCAACTCAGGCCCAATTTCTAAGCACACTCCCTAACTTTGCTAAATGTCACCCCCTTTTCCCTACTGAAAAAATACAAAATGAATGTATCAACTAGGGAGGTTAAATGGAGTTAAACTCTCCAAGTAACCCACCTCAAAAACAATATACAAACACTAGGAAAAGCAAGTAAAGTGCCTCACAAATACAAAGGCAAAAATAACCTATACAAAAGACTATGTATAAACTGTACAATATAAACAAGTGGAACTAGGCCTTCTCTTCATGATAGAGCATTCCAAGTGAAGATTACCTTGGGCTTGACAAGCCCACTAGTCTTCACAAGATCCAACTCTTCCTGTATTCTTCTAGCCATAGCTCTAGTCACTGGACCCTTGGTCCATGGTCTATCAATACATATGAATCAATCAACATTTTGCATCATATATCATGTATATGAAGTAATTATTAAACATCAAAACATGCAAAAGCATCATAACCCAATCACAACAACAAAATACAATTCACACCCAACGTAGCTTAACTCGCGCCCAACCTAAGCTTAACCCGAGAGCTCCAAGGCTCTCTCACGCCCGGCGTTAAGGTACCACGCCCAACGTTAGTCTAGAAAAAACTCTCCTAAGAAATCACGCCTAGTGCAACTTATCTTTTGTGCGACGTCACAAAGTTAGAGACCCCCTAGGGCGCGACATTCATGGCCGACGCAACTAGCCTTGTGCTCGACGCCATATCACTAAAGACTCACCTATGCTAGTTTCTGATATCGCACCCTACATCACCTCATTCATGCCTGGCGTCATTCATCCAGAGGCCCCATTATTAATTCACACCCGGCGTGAATGTGAAATGGATATCCCTGATGAATGCCTGTCCGACGCCGTGAAGGTGTGCATGACATAAATTCATATAGTGACACTCCAACTTCAGAAATTTTACAAAAACCTGCAAATCCAAGAAAACCAACCACATGCAATCCATGCAAAACAACAAACAAACTTCAGAGAATCCAAAAACAACCTCAAAACCAACATACACCTACTCGATGCATCAAAATCACCAAACCCAAAGAAAATGGTCTGTAGACCCCGAAAATGCTAAACACCTTGATTCAGCAAATTCATCTATAAATCATGCATCAATTGAGTTTCTAAACTCACATGCAACTAATCTAATAATATTTTAGCTTTCTTCACCTAAAAATTGGCTCAAAACAGCCAAGAAGAGAAAGAATGAGAAGAAAATCTCAATGCCCAGCCCGCCAACTTCAATCGTCCAAATTCAAGTTTCCTAGCTTAAATTCCAAGAAAAGAAAAAGAACTCTCGGACCCAAAACCATTCTCTTTAAAATTTCTTTCTAATTTTTTTAAAAAATTAACTTATGAAACTTCATTCTTAAAAAAAAACCTTATATATATTTTTCTCTAGAATTAATTAATATTTAAATAATTAACTTACCACTTATAGTGTTATAATATAAATTTAACTTAATTATCTTTTCTTGATGCAAGAGAATCAAACTTGATATAAGAAAATTTACGATATTTATAAATTTTACTCAATGAATTGAATTAGACTCTCGTAAACTATTATAATTAGATTCGTAAATGTTGTAAGTATCGATAAATAAATGAGTATTAAGACTAGTTATACAACAACCGCGAAATTATGTTGGTTGATGGATGAGCAATTAATGTAATTTCTCCAGATGTGACTTTATGCAAACTTTAAGTAATAACTTGTGGCTGTTGATCATATGACACTAGACATTATTTGGAGGACGAGTCAAACATATCTTCAAATGTTATATAAACTAACAGTATTTCTTTTTTAATTTATTACATTAAAAATATTTTCAACACAATGATAAATGAAATATTGGAAAATTAGATAAAATATAAAATAATTTATATTTATATTTATTTAAAATTATAATAGCTTTTTAATAAAAATCTTAATTTTATTAAAGTACAAATCAATTTAACATGAATTGTGAATAATGCAACTTTGGAAAAACTAAAACAAAGAACTGCACAAAACTATTCTTCGGAAAAACAAAAAGAAGGAACTAGACAAGACGAACTCCAACATTGGCTAAGAATTCATTAGCCTCCCAAATATCTGTGAGTGAAAGAAATAGAAAAGGGACTATTCACGATTAATCAACACAGTCGGCACATGCAAGACAAATGTTGTTGAAGAACACGAATCCGAATTAATTGATGATCTCAACAACATGAGGGTTATCCATTTCGATCGCAATAAATAACTCTCACCAGTATTTCTTATTACTCCCTTCATTTTTTTTGGTTTGAAGTTTAAAATTTATGTACAAGAAAATGATTAATATTTTAAAGTATTTATTACTTATTTTTTTATTATACCTTTTAAATAATTGGAAAAGAAATAAGTATATTAAAAATGAATAAACATATTATTTAGTGAACACACATTAATTATCAAGGTTAAAAATATATAAAAAAAATTAATGATTATAATAAATCATTAATTTTAATAAAATAACAATAAAATAATGATAAAACAACTATCAATAAAAAATGGATGGAGTAAATAAGTAAAATATGTGTATTTCTAACGTGTATCACTATTTATACATGCTAATACTTCTTTAATATTTAGAAGGGTCTTAGGAAGAAAGATATATTACATCTTTAAGCATTTTGGTTTATTTTTAAAAAAAAAACGAAGAAAATATAAGATATTTTTTAATAATATTTTGATTTATATATGCTTCCCCTAAATATTTAAATAAATTCATAATTCCATGCCATCTCTCTTAATAAATATATTTTTATAAAATAAAATCATTTTATCATAAATATTGATGTAATTAATAAGTTTTCTAAATATGAATTAATAAATGGTGTACTACTATTTTTGTTTTCACATGCAGACCGCTTGATATGGATCACATTAAAATGGGTAAGTGTAACTGTGGCTGTGGCAGAATGCATTAAAAGAAGAAGCAGAAGCAGAAGCAGAATTCACACTCCAACCGAACTCACAAGGTTATAGTTTTCTGGCTTCCACTTTCTAAATATTGTATCCATCTCAGGTCAGGTGAGATATCTTAGAAGCTACTTTTTTTTCTTCTCTCTATTTCTTTGCAAAAAAATTTCAGTTTAGTGTTGACTCCCCCGACTTTTAGTTACACATGAGTTGTGTCTACTATATCCATTGATTTAAGTGCTCAATGATTGGGTTCTGTGCTTAGTTTTTCTTAAATATTACGTTAATCTTATGCTGTCGGTTTTATGCGTGTTAATATTCTTTGTAGTTAAGTTTTTTTCCCGTGTGCCCGTGTGCCTTACGTTGCAAAGGGTATACTTTACCTGTAAGAAACAAAGCGAATGTGAAATGTAAATGAGTCATGATGCACTAGTAATCTAAAATTGATTCAATATGGTATAAGGGTACACGTTACTGGTTAGAAACAATGTGAGCTAATGTTAATGAAATATTGTCAAGATGCACAATTAATCTAAAATTGATTCAATTTGATGTCAGTAACTTCCAAATGGTATTTATTTGTATATGCTGTGTACGTGGTTTGATGTGGGTTTTTTTTTTTTTAATCTTGCTACTCAACCACTAAAGTGAAGCTCAATGTTTATTTATTGTTATGTTTTATTGTTTCGTGCTTTTTGGGTTACTTTTTTGGATCTCAAATTGTTTTAATTAAAAAAATTATATTACTTAACTTTATAATAAACACACAGTGATCTTATTTTTCTAAAAATATATATAAAAATAAACTGAAGAAAATGAAGAGCGTGTCTGGAAATAATAGTTTTTTTTCTTTAGACCATAGGTATAATCTTGTTTAAATTGAATAAGATTACTAAGGAGGACAAAACTCTCCCTCCAAGTATGCATGAAAATAGTATATGAGTGAGGTTAAGTTTACATATACAACATGACATAACATAAGACTATAAGCCGTATTCCTAACAAATGAAATGAACTTGCTAACAAAATTGAGCTAACTGTGGGTTAATTTAAACACCAACTCTGGTAATATGAACTCTTTGACCTAAGTGGCTATAAAATGAACGCAACATTTCAATGAAGTAACCAGAAGTAACAATATCCCAGAGTTCACTTTGGTACCTCAAAGGTTAGCTTTGTGTTACATCGGGGGAAAACATAGGTTTTGTTGAAGGTAACTTATCTTTATAGTTTATAGTTATACAGGAAATTACAGGTTAGTCTGCATAATGAGGTATTGTATAAAAATGTAGCAGTATGTCATTGTTGATTGTTATGCCGTAATTATTTGGAAAGAAGGAGAATAACTATTACTAGGATAAGTTGCTACTCACCATTCCGGTGTTTAACTGTAAATTGATAATTTTATGTCTCTTTTACTGAACAGTATGAGTCAGGATCTGAAGAAAACTGCCTCTAACGGTCACGAGAAAATGCTAATATCACAAGAACAGCATGCAAAGGTATGTCCAGTTATATATTTTGCATTCTTTGCATATTAACAAAATACTTTTACAGTTTTACTCGTGTTGCATGTGAAAATATCAAGCCACAATGTTATCAGATATAAAGGATGTAACTAAAAATAATTTGCTTCCTTCCAGATCAATGAGGTGAGAAGTTTGATAGGCCCGTTATCAGATAAGGCATCTGTGTACTGTTCTGATGCATCCATCTCAAGGTATTTAAGGTCACGAAATTGGAATGTCAAGAAGGCAACTAAAATGTTGAAACAAAGCCTAAAATGGAGAAAAGAATACAAACCTGAAGAGATCCGCTGGGTAAGTAACTACTTTTCTTTTAATGCATTTCAAGCGATAATGCATGACCGGGATGTTTCCTTTTTCGGTAAAACTAGGTTGAGGCCTACTTGAATAAACTTTTTCATAAGCACTTTTAGAAGGAAAAGTAAAATAATTTTCTTCATAAGCAAATTTGTAGAAGTTCTCATATTACTTTAAAAAATTACAAATTAGTTTATACATAAGTTTGTTTTAACTTATAAAGAAACTTATTTCATTTTCTTCTCTTTTTTTTTTTTTCCTTTTAGAAGTGTTTCTTGAGAAGTTTACCTAAATAAGTCCTAAGAATAGCTAAACCGAATATACGTTATCCCTCTATTACCGTGAGTCCATCACTCTCTTCAGACGAGTTGAGAGAATGCCTGAGGAAACAGCAAAAGAAGTGCTCACAGGCTCAGCCATATCTACTTGCCTTGTTTTTGGCTATATCTAAGCAATATTCTACATAAACTAGCAGCAACTGATTATTTTGAAATTTTGTTCTTAAGATTGATCAACTAAATCTGGTTCATTATTGTCTCTCATGGAATGTATGATCTGGACAAGCTCTAGAATTTATCACTTTTCACGCATTGTAATGTTTTTCCTTAATGCAGGAAGAGGTTGCTGAGGAAGCAGAGACAGGAATTATGTATAGACCAAATTATCATGACAAGTATGGGAGATCCGTGCTTGTAATGAGACCTTGTTGCCAGGTTTCTTCTGAGAATAATTTTCAATCTCTATCTTGTTTAATTTAATGAGGGTGTAATCATGTAAAAGTCACACTCAGCGATTGGAATGAGTGAAAATGGAAGAGTGAGAATAGGCGATGTATTCAGATATACATTGTGTCCAGCTACCATGTGATTTTTCATTTTCAGTTGAAGAAAACACTCTTGAATTTTACACTATACATAACAGTGCTGACCCATTTACTCTACTTTGAAAATGATTCAAGGGTTTATGGATTCTACATGTATATTAGTTAGGACTCGATTTATTAACACTTTTTAAGAGTAATATCATCCATGTTTTTATTTCATTTGTCGTCTTCATCTGTACTGCAGAACTCAAAATCAACACAGGTACAGGTTAAGTATTTTGTATACGTCATGGAGAGTGCCATTTTAAATCTTCCACCACACCAGGAACAGGTGGTCTGGATGGTAGATTTCAAGGGTTTCAAGTTGTCAGATATATCATTCAAGGTGACACGTGAAATTGCCCATTTATTGCAAGAGTATTATCCAGAGAGGCTGGGTTTGGCAATAATGTACAATGCGCCAATGATCTTTCAATCATTCCTCTCGGTAATTAAATAGAAGGCTTTTCATTATAAAACTTGTATCTTATGTATGGTGTTTATATATACACACACATGATGCTTTAGTAGATCATGAATCTAGTACTAGTACTATTTTGTAATGTGAAAGAGTGAATTGCTGCAGATGGTAAAGCCCTTTGTAGAGGCTGAGACTTTCAATAAAGTGAAGTTTGTCTATTCCAATGACCACAACACACAGAAGATTATGGAGGATTTGTTTGATATGAATAATCTTGAATCTGCATTTGGTGGGAATGGTGTCACTGTCACAGGAGATGACATAAATAAATTTGCTGAGAGAATGAAAGAGGAAGACAATAAGAAACATTCTTTCTGGACACAGACCAAGTCTCTACCATCAGTTGCACATAATGCTCCTTTAGATTCGGTCAGGTTAGATGCAGATTCTGATGCTTCTAACAATGAGAAAAAGGACTGTTCCCCTGTTCCTATCAAACCCTGATCAATACATCTTGGTTGCTCGGACGAACAGAAATTCCACGGCATTGGAATGATAATTACATACTTAAATCAGTGTTGAGTCAACTGTAATAATGCAGAAAGATGTCATGACACTCTAGTTTGAAACCTAGATTTGAGACACCTAGTGTCAACTTCATGTATGATTTATGATGATAAATATTTTTGCCTTGTGGCTTGAAGCTTCTGAACTTTGAAATAGGCAAGAAATGGATGCTTATGCGCCAGCTTCTCATCCGATTGGCAATATTTTTCCCCATCAGTAGGGTCAAATTTTAAGTAATTTTAACAAACTAAAAATAAATAAAACCTAGTACTACAACTTATGTTTTAAGAAACAGTTCAGTTTAGTTTTTTTTTTGTTCACCCCTAATCAACATCAGTTTTTTTATCTTCATCGTGCAACTCGAAAATGAGATGTATAAGAGTTATGTAATCGAGGATAAGTAGGAAGTTTACATAATAAAACTTTCAGAATATCCAGTAAAATTCACATTAGAACTGATTTACAATTATAAATAAATTATAATAATGGACCTGAACTGCAAGTGTTACAGCGTTTCCACATTTATAACATGCATCAACAACGAGTTCATGGAAACAATCACTCGCCTATAAGATAAATATACATAAAAATGGGAGTTCGTCTCCATATATACTGATACAAAACTGTAATCACGCATCGGAAACAACCTAGCTTTAGGACAAGTGCATATTCTCTACACCTAACATCGAAAACATCTTTCCCTTTGTGATTCAACTGTGACATTTTTGATTGACTGTAAATGTATTTCCTGAAACAGTGAGAGATAATGGAATGTAGCATATTAAGATAGTAGCAAAAGAAGAAGAAAATAATCAATGAATGTTTACCTAAACATTATATCATTGGAACTTCTCATCCAACTTCTGCCTGTAAAGAGCCAAACGCTGGGAACAAGTAAACTTGTCAGTGCCTTGCAAATGAGTTAAAAAGAAAATTTAAGGACCTTAATTTCAACATCATAATAGGGCATCAACCAGGTAGCAGATGATTGATGATTAATGACTAATAATAGATCAGAGCTACCAGAAAGTGCCAACTTCATCTGTATACATATTTAACTTTCGTGCTCACTATGAAAGTGCAGTCAGAATTTTGAGGAACGAATGCCACTTTTTCTGGCATCAAAGACATTCTACAAGTTCACATATAATTGAGTTTGTGAGAAACTATTTACTGCTTATTTTCAGTTACTAGTTCGTGCTGCCCATTCTAATCAACCAGACTAGTTCAAACCAATGGAAATACTTTAATAAGAAATTCAGCCAGTCAAGGTGCAACAGTTTTCTACCAGGTTTAGAAAAAATTGAGACTTATCAAAAACACGTATCAAAAAAAACACGTAGACATTAAAACACGTATCAAAAAAATCATAATATGTAATAATGTAGCAAATAGAGACAGAAGACAAATAATTTCACAATCCAAATCATTTTGACATTCTATTCAATCTATTGCTAGAGGACTGCAAGTGCCATTGCAGCCTTCCAGACAAACAATATCCATCCTTAAAACTTTTACGTTTCATTAACAAAAAGAAAAGAAAAAAACATCTTAAAAGGGGGATATAAAAGCTGATATAAACTGCATACCCTAGTATAGGCATAAACTCCAGCTTCGGAAGGTCCTATGGGACTCCCCCTCCTAATGAATCTGCCCTCTTTGAAAATGTAAAGCATGGGAATTCCAGTTGAAAGCTCCAAACTAATGACCTGATGAAAGGAGAAAGAAAAGAAAATCATGACTATGTACGGTCATATATAAGCTTGAGAGTTAAGAGCCACAATAATTTTGAATACTCAAGTCACCTCTTGTGAAGTTAATTTATCAAGGTACATGATAATGGATCTCAATGAATTCCCATGGGCTGAAATCATGACATTCTTTCCAGATAAAAGTTGAGGTTCAATCTGCAGCAGTGATGTCAATGGGATCATTCCTTGACCAATGTTATGTGATGACAACAACCATACCAGAAATTTGGCCATACAACATATATAAACTACATACATACTTCCTCTCCGGTATATATAGGCTTGGAGCTACATTAGTCCCATAAACATTAAACATATAGCACATATGTAACTAAACTAAACCAGAGCTACTGAATTGATTGGAATATCTAGTTTAAAGATTCACCACATTTGTCTGGAAAACTTGATCATCAAAGTTAACATGGAAAAATGAGGAGGGGAGAGGAGAAGTAAATTACTAATCAGAATTTGAATAATATAAATGCACAAAGAACTAAATTTCCACTTACTTGGTCTCTGAAATAGGCAACTGCTCTTTGAGCACACATTTCCAAACTTTCACCGTTTGGAGGAGGTATGTCATAACTTCGTCGCCACTCATGGACTTGTTCTTTCCCATATCTGTCTGCTGTTTCTTGCTTATTGAGACCCTGCAGTTCCCCATACCTGAAATGATAAAAAATTATGATATACCAATAATATGTTAATGTTATTCCTGACATTGTAAAGCAGAAATTTCAAACGCTGAAAACAGGAAAAAGATTACTACATTCTTTCATTTAGTTGCCAAGATGCTATGACCGGAATGGACTGCTTTTTTGTATCTTCACTATACACTTGACTCCATGACCTTGCTTGTTCACTTTCATTATGCATAATGACAGGGACCTGCTGGGAAGAAGTTGGTTAATGTTTAGGAAATAACATTTTAATACTACACTGCAACAGATAAAATTATTTCTTCCAATGGTCTACACTAGAGTTTAGTGTGCTATTATGTACGTTCTCAGAATCAAGAATAGCAAAACCTGTCAATTTTTCTGTGGACCAATTTTCTGGATTTTGGTCCTAGTATAAATAGATCAAAACTCCTTTGTTTTCAGTTAAGCTCAAGTGATTTGGAGTATGACATGCCTACTAATATGCCCTAAGTTTTCTAAAGAAAGAATATTCACATATTGTGTCAGTTGACACCTGAAGACAGTTATGAGGTATCCATTAGTTACCTTCCCTCGACGGTGCTGGGTCATGGCAAGCATGGCTGTCATTTGTGCACGAATCAAGGCTGATGTAAATATGACATCAACAGGAATGCTGCTAATTCTTTTTCCAGCTTCAATTGCCTCATCTATACCCTTCTTGCTTAGTGGAACATCAACACAACCTGTGAATAAGTTCTTTTCATTCCACGATGACTCACCATGCCGAATAAGAATTAAGGCTGCTTCATCTGAGTTGGAACATAATGAACAGAAGTTAGACAACATCCAACTGACAACTTGAACTACATGAATGTCGCAACCACTTCAAACTTTGTGAATCCAATTTCAAGAAGCAATAAACATGGAGAAATTTGGCAAAGAAGGATGTCCAACAATAAATATAAGGACAAAACTTAAACAAAGTATTATAAATACTGTTGGTGTTATTCTTCAATCAGAATTGGAGTTTCGTCTAGGTAATATAAGTAAATGCATATTACCAAGGCTTCCGTTTAATATAAATGCATATACCTGAGATGAAACATTAATTTTGACCGGAAAACAACACTAACAATACCTTTGAGTTTTGTCCTAAATATAATTGACAGGTGCGTTTATCTTACTTGATTTCTTGTGAGTGTCACCAGCGTTGCTTCTTGAAGGGGACAACACTGGATCAACCACTGCTGTTTGTGAAGCTAGAATTGCACCACAATTCCTCTGGCCAGAGCTACTTCTCCTCGACAAGCCATTACTACTGACGGAATCCTTTGTCACCAATCTTACATAATTGTTCTGAAGTTTTTGATGATGATTAAAATTATTCAAATAAGAATGGGATTGCAAAGTGCCAATAGCCTGGTAATATGCTTCAGCAGCCATTACCTAAAAATTGAAAAGAAAAAAAAAATGAGTAAAACAAAACCACTTAGAGTTGAATATTCAGAAACAGGGCAACATTGCTAGGTTGCTGTGGTGCACAAGATACGCAAGTCACAACATGTAGGTTTATTTAGTACCATGATGTACCCTCAAATGTTTGAATCAAGGAAACACCAACTACGTACTTGCTTGGAAGAATGTCCAACGCTGGAAACAAAAAAAATAAAAAAAATAAAAAAATCTTCCTTGCTTCACTATCTAAATTATCACAGGGAAACAAAAATCCTGCCCGGCATTCAAACATCCCGTAATTATTTAAAAAACGGTTTCAAATACAGAAATAGCAGATCTATGAAGGGAAGATAACAACGAAAATGGAGAAATCCGACGTAGAAGAAATATGAAAAAAAATCCTTTTTATTTGATTTGCAATAAGTAGGGAGTCGAAAATGAGGAGAAGAAATGGAAAGAGCGTACCCCAGATGCAAGTGATGGAAGAAAAGAGTGCGTAGAGTGAGTTTATGATTAGAGAAGCGAAAGACAGTTGAGTCCAAGGAAGGGAAGGAGGAGATGTCGATTTTGACGTTGGAATGGTAGCTGTAATTCTCAACTGGTATCACAATTGACAATAGAAGGATAAATGGTGGTAGGTAGATTTAGTTGTGTTCAAAATGTGGCATATGCTGTTGGACAAATAAAAGCTGAAAAAATCAAAAGAACTGCCACATCTAATCAAACCGTTTAATAATCAAACCTTCCAAACTAAACTACTATTATCTTTTTCATTTTTTGTGTGTCTATTCTTGCTTTTCTCTGTCCTTCCATTTTTTCAAAGATTATTAATTTATCAAAAATAATAAATTACTGATGATGGTGTCAAAGAATTTTATATACTTGCAATAGGTTTAGAATAAAACTCACCTCTCTCAAGAGTGAGTTTGAATTTAAAAGAAAGAAAAAACTAATAGTGCAAGTGAGGTGAGAGAGTCTAATATTAACATGTGTGCTAAAATTGTATTTGACCTAAAAAAAAAATTTCTCCTTAAAACGAAAACCCGGGTCAAACACATTTAGATAAAAAAAGCTTTTAAAAAAATTACTTTTTTATAAATTAAAAGAGGGGAACAGTTTTAGAAAGAAAAAAAAAACTAACTGACATAACTTTTAAAAATAAGTTGCACATCTTAACCTTCATCTTTCTCTCATCCTAAATTAATTTATGGGGGACAAATTAACAAATATTTAAGTTTTAAAAAACTTTTAAGCTAAAATTACCAGACAACTTTTATATTTTATTTTTGAAACTCTTATTTCGAATTTCAACTTTAAAATAGTTATTAAATCATGGATAGTTGTTGAACCATTTTATATTATACTAATATTTTAGCATATCTAATGTACAAACTAAATATTTACTATATTTAATTAAAATAGATAATAAAATAATATTTTTTTTTGCAAATTCTCTCTTTAAAGAAAAATCTTTAAGAATATTTTTACGAAAGATAGAAGTGAAAGTTTAATATATAGGAATTGATATATAAATTATATTTAAAATTAGTATACATAAATATTTTTAAACACATAAATTATATTTTAGATTTATGATAAATAATTTTATTGTTAAAAAATTATTTTTATTTATTAGTAATTTAATTTGAAATATCAATTATATATATTTAACATGAATATTTATCTTCCGTAAAAGTGTTTTTAGAAAAATTTTTTCAATAAGAGAGTTTGTAAGATTTTTTGAACTTCTTATCTAATTTAATTTTTACTTATCATAATTATTTATAAATTAAATATTAATATTTTAAAATAATTCATCAATAACTATAACTAATTTTTTTTATACAATATAAATTATTTATCATAAATTTAAAATATAATTTATATATTTAAAAATATTTATGAATACTAATTTTAAATTATATATATATATATATTGAAACAAATTATTTATTTATGAACTAAATATTAACTAGTATTTTAATATGTTTAATATACAAACATATTTATTATATATGATATAAATAAAAATTGAATGAGATAAGAAATTAAAAAGAATTCCTACAAATCCTTTCATTAAAGAAAAATTTCTAAAAATACTCTTGTGTAAAATAAAAATTTATATTTAATATATAGAGATTAATTTAACATGTTTCTTCGCGCAAAATTATTTTCAACTTGAGATGTGAGCAATGCATATAATTGCACTATTTTTTTTTTTTTTTTTGTAGAATTAATGTTTTGAGACTGATTCACAACCTATAAGATTAAATTTTATGCATAAGAAGTATAATTACAATAAGCCAATAATTGAGTTTGAACATAAAGACTTTATGGTTATTATATTATTCTCAAATCAACACTAAGTAGTATATCATTTATCTTCCCATGTCAAGAAAAGTAAAAAACTGGTGTAGGAAATAAATATGGCACAAGGGATTCGTTAAAAGAAAAAAAGGCAAACCAACAGTAGTAAGCACTAAGCAGTAATTAATTAACCTCCCACTTCCTGTTATTTTCCAAATTCTTTTTCTTGTGTTCTGTGTGTATATACATTTGCTTGTTTCCAAAATACGAAGGGAAGTAGGAAACACCTAACAAAGCAACGTGAAATTAACATCACCAAACACTGTCACCAGTGCACATATATGGTGGGTTTGACAGTTGACACAGAAAGGGCACGTGTTTATGTGATCTCAAAGTTCTTTGAAGACCAAACTTGAAACTTGGCGATCACAATCCCACCTACCCTTTGCTACAAGTGTTTCAATTCAACTATGAGATCAACAATTTGGACATTGAAATTTTCAAAGGCTATAAATTAACCATTTAACCACGATCACGTGATACATACAATCATCAGCAAGCAAGTCAACCAATGGAATATGCCTCACATTATGCGCCCTTGAACTTGAAGGTGACACAAGTAAACCATCATGTGCCAAATGAGGACTCAAGTTCCATCTTATACAAAAATTAGATTAGATACAACTTTGTAAATGTTTTGTATTTTCTTATTAAAATTGGAAATTCCTTCACCATTTACATAATAAAAATTTATATCAAGAGAAAACGGATTATGTGCTAATAACTAAGTAGTTTTACATAACCATTCAATCATAAATTATTGTCTAAGATATTTTTGTTGACTTTCATAATAATTATTTTAAAAATTATACTAACAACAATTTTTGATTGATTAACATTGTTTCTAGTCATTAAACTCTTATGTTAAATGTCAAATAAACTATGGAAGTAATATTTTGTTTTAAATAAAAAAATGACTTTAAAAGTATATAAGGAACTATATTTAAGTTTTGGTAAAAAAAAATATTAATTTATATATACAATAAAGATATATAGTATGACATGGTTGACAGAGTCTAATTTTAAGGTCCTTCTATAACTTCTTTTTATATTCCAACTTTCACGCCCCTCCATGCCTGACATGTCCATTGAGTCATTATTTCATGGGCTGCTCATGAGTTATGGGCTAACTATCGGTATTTTACCCATCTCCTAATTTACGAGCTCTTATTCATGTGGGTTGTAAAATATGGGCTTTGAGACTTTTTCGTGAATTGTAAGCTTGGGTTTAATTCTTTTTTTTCGGCTCATGTATCTTTTATTGTTGGCTAATCCTTTTTGCACCTCTATGATTTCTCTTTGCACTCCCTTTTTTTATTTTATATTAATATGATATATTAAAAAAATATGACAATTTTTAAAAACTATTTTCAAAATGTATTTAATATATTCCAAAAATTAAATTTCAGTAAGTATAAAATTTTCTAAAAATTAAAATTCAAAATCATTAAGAAAAATTTATAGAATGTTTATTTTTGTTTTGATTCCTTATTTTCATTTTTTGTTTCTTATTTTTTATTTATAAAATTTATCACTTTGTTTTCTATCTATTTTCTGTTTGTTAATATTTACATAAGAAACACTGCAATGGATGGGAGGGGAGGAACATTTTATTTGAAGATTCACCTATTGTTATCATTCTTATTAATTTATCTTTTTGAACGATTCACTTTTCAGTAAATTAGTATATAGACATTGTCATTGATATTCTTATGTGAAATCAACAACAATAAATCAATAATCTATGCTCCTTGTTACTCATTAGAAAATGGACATATTAATTAGTTTAATTATTAATTAATGTGATTATGAAAAGAAAAAAAAAACCATCCCTATTATGGTTTGCTACAACTTCATCTTTAGACAAAATGGTTTAGTTAGCAACTTCAATGCACGAATGTTGAGTTTTTCCCCTAAGGACTTTGGTGCAATCTCCTTCAAAACATCGTACTTGCTTCGGGAACTAGAGCTTACCACATAATGCTCATAACCTTTAGTTGGTTTCTACTTCACTGATGGAGGTTGGCTTCCCTCATCTAAAGCTTGATCACGATTTTGCTAGAAATGGTACTATATCAAATTATAAAATTTATTTTCCATTGAATATTGAGATCTCAAAGTGTGTTTCTTGCGAATGATTCAATACCAACGTTGCAGAAAAAATCACAAATAACAAGGATTGAAGATGTGAACACAAAATACACCACAAAAGAAATAATATAACACAAAAAATTACGTGATTCTTTCTAACTTCTCCCCCAAACATCTACTTCTTTGTCCCTCCAAAGGATCATTGATGATCTCAAGATGCATGGATCTGATCAATCATCCCAAGAAAACCATCAAGATGTTGTATCACTGCCAAAAAGGAAATAGGGTCATCTTCTCGAGGCTCAATGCTCAAGCTAGTTTTTCAAGTTAACAGACTCATATTCCTGGATACAAACTTTGGTAAAAATGTGTCAATGTTAGAATGGATTGGAAGGATTTTGAGCACCCTCATTGCCCACATAGTTGATTAATGAGCGCTCATTGTGAAAAAATTAGAGATTCACGCAGCATAACCCACGAGTTGAGCTAACTAGGAAAGTTGTGTTGCTTGTACCAACTGTGTCTTCTGGGGGCATCTTGGGGCTTCTGTATTACTTAACCCATAACTTCTACTTCTACTCTACGAAATTTTGTGCACTGATTTGTTGTTTATATATGTGGGCAACGACGCCATTAAGAAAAGCATATCATAAAAGAAAACAGTTTGACCAAAACCAGCCCAATTAAATTGACGTCAGGGTCTTGAACACCATAAGTCAGTGAGACCTCAGAGCATCTCTAGTGAGGTTGCTTCTCTTGCCACATCATACTACATCAATTCTTTTTCACTTTATGAGTTACTTAAATTTTAGCACTGGAATTTCTACAATCAACTTTGTTAAAATTTAAGCAATCCATAAAATGAAAAAGAGCTGCTGTGACATAATGTGGCACGAAGATTGTTTATGAGCAACCCCCACTGTAGATGCTCTTAAGCCATCTCTAGTAGGGATGGCAAACATACCCTTACTCGCGGGTAATACCTAAACCCGTCCCGACTTTGACGGGGAATACCCGGTTTGACCGGGTACGAGTAAGGGTACGGGTAAAACCCGATATATTAAATCGGGTACGGGTACGGGTATGTACTTACCCGCCCTGTACCCATATCCGTCCCCGTTCTCATTTTTAATTTAATACTCTCTTTCAATTTAATTATATTAAAAAAATTTAATATTTTTTTATGTATGATTATTTATTATAATATAAGATAAATAAATAACCTAATTATAATTATAACAATAAAAAAATAATTTAAAAATCTTATTTTTTTTACAAAAAATAAAAAATAAAAAAATTGACGAGTACGGGAATGGGGATGAAAATCTATACCTGACGAGTATGGGAACGGGGACGGGAATGGATTTAACTCGCGAGGACGGGGGCGAGTATCATGAAACCCGTACCCGACCCGCCCCGTTGCCATCCCTAATCTCTAGTGGGATTGCTTATAAGCAATTCCACTTACCACGTCAGTCTCATTTAAATTTCATATCTTTGAATAAATTAGTTTTTATTAATTTAAATTATTAAATAATAAATTTAGTTTCAACGTGATGTATATATTATTATTTTTATCAATAAGGTTATACAATCTCAAGATGCGATTAAAAAGTGTTATTATAAATTATTTAAGGGAAATTTTATCATTTATTTTATAAGATTACAAAAATTATTTTACATCTATTTCAGAGTTTATCTCTCTCTTTTCTAAAAAGAAAAAACTTTGAAATTAGTAAAGTTTAAATTTAATGAAAGAAATGTTAATATATATATATATATATATTAATTTATTAATGAAAATGTTAATGACATGATCACATATTTTACTAAAATTTCTTTTTATTTTGATCATTTGTTATACATATTAGATTAATTTACATCTTTAAGTGACAAATCAAATAATTTCAAAATATAAATTCAAATTTATTTTTCATTTAAAGTCTAAAAATCAAAAACTTTTGATGATAAACTAAAAATTTAACAAATAATACAATCTTAATTTATTTTAATCAAAAGCATTACACAATATTATTCTTTTTTCAGAATACAAATTGCTTCTAAAATTTTATTGACAATTTTAAAAGAAATTAAAACCATCAAATTCTCATTTATGATTATCCATGTCCAACGATAGATTGAATGAAATTATTGTGAAATATTAGAAACAATATTAAACTGAGATTTTTATAATTAGTTTTTAAATTAATAAAAATGAAAATGAAATTTTATATTAAAACAAATTTTGAATATAAATTTCGTCTTAGGCCTTATAAATTCTAAGCCCTGATTGACGTCGTTCGAAATCAAGTCAAACCGCTACCATACACTCTTGCTGCGTTATTCGTGAATGAAACACTATAGGAAGAAAAAATAGGATCCTCTTAATAGCCACCAAAGGTCATAAAACTGAACTATCAAAAGCCGAAAGTTAAAAAATCATTGCTTTACTTCACAATTAAGCTCTAGTTAAAACTTAACAGTCCCAACCTAGCTAGCAAACCATTCATTGTTGACTTAAAACAAAACCCCTCTTCAATGAATGCAAATATAAAAGAATAGCTTATTATAACAACACAAAATAAACTACAATAAGCATCCTCAAGTCCAGGACAGATCTTGATGTAATAATATAATTTAGCAGGGTCCATTAACATATAACATAATATGAAAATGTCGAGATAACACTCCACATCAAGATTGAATTAAATACACATTAGGAAACCGAAATCGAAAGTAGATAAATTAATTCTCATTGTCGAACTCCTGGTATTGCTTGAGGATCTCAGCACAGCCAGATGCAACATCCTGTGACATGAAGCCCATGGCATTGGCAAACCTATTATCTGTGGCAATGCCATTGTAGCGGGTGAGAATAACAAGGGCTTCATCACGGCCTGGGGTGGCGTGCTTGCATTGTGGGTGAGGGCTGCTTACAAGCTTGGCATTGCAGACTTGATCTGCGTGATCCTCATCCACATTTATTGTGTATGTTCCTGTTGAGTCGGTCCACCCCTTCTTTGTGTACACAACCTCGTTGCTAACCCTGCTCTTGCATTGCAACATAACCTCCGCACCTGCAATCAAACAAAATTTGTTACAATTACAATTTTGTAACTACTAACTCCATGTTTATGTTTGGATTCACATCAGATCATCCAAAAGTACCTTAAAATACATAATCTGAAACAAATGTTCACATGTTTAGTTCGGCTTTAAAGAGTTGATCCTGGATCTACAATTGATTGAGTTGAAATTGGTTTAAGCAGCTTAAGCTTTTGATAAAATAGTACTGCTAACTTGTTTCTAGAATAAAATGATCCAAACCATTTCATAGAAAATAAATCAAAAAAAATTCATTCAAAATTACTTTTGCAATCGCCCAACCAAACGCTAAGCAAATGACAACAAAACAAACAAAAAGGGACAGCCTAATAACAAGGAACCACTAACTAACAAGGAATTCTGGGACTTGGTTACTAGATCCTGCAAAGTGCATAAACTAATTTACAATCACTTACAGGGTCAGATCTGACACCCCAGTTACTAAATTCGAAATGAACAACAGCATTTTCCCGAAACTAAAGGTTTTAGAGAGTAAAGGTAGGAAATTGAAGTGAGAAAACAAAAGTACATGAATGAAAAACCGAAAGGACGCATGAAACAACAGAGATTCACTTTATGAAACAGATCTTAGACATGGTGCCGTGTAACATAAATAGTAGCATATTTTAAAAGCAAAGAGAGGAAAAGGGTTAGCAGTTACCAGCAATGTAGGTGGTTGCAGGGGTCTCAAAACCAGCACGGCAAGGGTCACAGTAGACGCGACCCTTGACGCTAAAGGGGTTCTTGGCAGGGCGAATGGCCACAACCATCGCCGGCAGCACACACATAGCCAACAATAACACTACTCTCGATGCCATGATGAAGAAGAAGAAGAAGAGGGTTTGGTTATGGAAGAATGAGGAAATTGAAGTTTATGATTTCAATTAAAAGGGAGTGTCTTGAGTGTTGGAGAAATGGGTATAAGATAAAGAAAAGCAAAGCAAAGCAAAGCAAAGCGCGTGGTAAATGTTCAACTGCATTGGAGCGCACCGTAGAGGAATGTGGTCTCGCATCTAAAATGTGCCACGTCATTATGAAGGGTGATGATGGGGTTAGGAGGAAGGGTGTAACGAGAGAGGGGCGTAGAGGAGAGGAACTGTGGCGGTGTGTGAATTGTAGCATAATGTTTGCAGCTGGCGCTGTCGGTGATGGCATGTGACTCGGCTAGTGAATACAAGCTGTGAATCTATTAACCCCACGTCACACGCCGATAATTTTGCATCTCGATGTTTTTCACTTTTCGGAGGCTTGAGTAGCCTTCAATTAAAGTCCATGTCCACGGGAAGTGAATTATGCCACTTCTTAACTTTTATTTATTCAAAAAACTATGATAGTTGATTCGATGATTAAAAAATAAATTTATTAGTCTGTAATTTTTAATAAATATTAGTAATTTATCAAAGTAAATATTATAGAAAAAGTTTAAAAACATTATTGTTATATAAAATCGTTTTATATATAAAACTTTTTATAAAATAATTTCGCATTCATCTATGTGTGATTGGGATATTCATATTATAAATCTTACAATAGTAGATCTCATAATTTCATATCAATAATGTAAATTTCTCCCATTCATTATAAATAACTATTAAATTCATGTTTAACAAGTCACTCAAGGATTAACATATTAATTGATATGTGACCAACTAGTTAAGTCACTAGTCGATTTAGTCTGTTAATGAAAATTTATTTTTTAGACTAAGTCGACTAAGTTCATTCGATCTTGTCTAGTTGTCTGATGAAGTTAACTTCCTCTAATCAATTTAGTAAAGTCGATTAAAACTCAAATGAAACACAATCCTCAAGGTTCATGCACTAAAGTATAGAGAGATTAAAAGTCGACAATGGTAATCTCTAGTTAGTAAGGTGAAGTATAGATTATACAAAAACATTCTTAAATGCCTATAGTTAATCTTATTAAGTGTTATCTAGAAGAGTAAGTAACGATATTAGTTAATTAATTTTTAAATAATAAGTATAAATTTTAATAATTATACCTCATACATTATTAATTATCTTATCGTTTGAATTCAATGGAAATTAACGTGATAAAACAAAATTTATTGAATAAATTTTTAATCTATAAATAAATAAATAATTCTAATTGAAAAGGAAAAATATAATATATGGGATATATTACTATCTAATAATGAAGATGTCTAAATATAAATATTAGTTTTTCTTTTCCTGATGAATTAAATGATCATATGTTGATGGTGTAAAACATTTTTGTTGATTGTTATATAAATAATCATTTTTATTAATAGAATGTAAAAAAAAAAATTACATTAATAATATATGATCATTTAAGAATTTGGCTCGACTGACCTGGGTTGCTTATATGTGTTGGTCCAAGTCAATACAACAGCTCTACTGCCATACCTTGTACCCGAAAATTTAGTCTCAATTTTTATTTCTTAAATTTAAAATAAATTTATTTTAAAATTATTATTTTTAGTATGTAATTTAAAAAAAAAAAAAAATTTCGGTCCCTCAAATTATCAATAATATATATATAGAAACAATTATACATAAATAAATAAATTTAATATAATGTTTTCACTAACAAAAATACTAGTAAATAAATTTTATAGAATATTATTTTACATATTTTTTAACAAATTTGAGTATAAAAACTTAAACAAATTTTTTTAAAATTATAAAACTAAAAAAATAATTTTAAATTTAAAAAAGTTATCTTAAATTTAAAAAATTTAAAAAACACATTTAAATCAATACCAAAAATGGTCTACCACCATCTTTCTTAGTAATATACACTTAAATCAAAGTTCACTCTCATCGCCCTGCCTCCTTTTTTCTCATATTTATCACTAATCGTATTTTCTATTTTGATATTAACAAATCATTGGCCAGTTTGATCTTACTATTTTGATCTTAACATATCATTGGTTGATTTTAGTGTAAGAGACTGATGATGGTTATTCACATGGCCGAGCAAGTCGTTTTGAATTGAGAAAGTAAACGGTATTTATTAGGAGTCTGTATGAGTTGACATTTTACATGTTCAATTGATTAATTGCTTGAATTAATTTAAAATTTTACAATTAGTTGTATACATGTGCTTTCTTGAAAAATAATTCTAAATCTTCCGTCTACATCTTTATACTAATTCTGATCTGCTACTTCATCTATATAATAAATATTAAATGTATTTTACTTTTTAAATATTAAATAATTGATATTTATTTAATATCTTATTTACAAAAGGATTTATAAGAGGATAATCCATGCAAGATGATCTTAATTTATGCTCTCAACTACCGTGCCAAACTGCCAATAGTTTTTTTCTTCTTTAGATTCGAACCTCTGACCTTGCTTAAGCGTGGAACAAAACCGTTGAACCACACGCTTGGGGTTAACTGTCAATAGTTTGGCGCATTAATTAGATGTAAAGTAAATTAGTGTCAGATGTGGTCGAAAGTCAGTCAAGGGCAAAAATATAATTAGAAAAATAAGAAAAGTCACAAGATATATTCAATAAAAGGAAAAAAAAATATGAATTAGTTAAAGACCGAATCCGGTATCAAATTTAGTACTATCCATATTTATAATTACTATAAATAATATAAATTTATAAAATTGGTATGGTGCATTAAGGTATGTGGAATACTTATTGGAGAAGAATCTGTATAAATAATATAAAATTATAAAATTGGTATGGTGTGTTAAGGTATGTGGAATACTTATATAGGAGAGGATTCAAGAAAATAATTTACCTTGCAACTGGTTGATAGAGTTATCAATTTGGTTTCAACTAATTCGTAAATAAATTTAGATTAAACTTTAAATTAGATAGTTTAAATAAAATTGTTATTTTTGTATAACTTATCAAGTTTGATGGGTCAAATAGGTTTAGATCAGATTCACTTGCAGGCTTACAAATTGATATCATTAAACTAATAAAGAATATAATTTAAACTACTATCATTATTAATATGTAAATATGTAATGTATTATAAAATAATAAGATAATTATAACAATAGTAATTGTCTTTCATTTTTTGTGTTTATTTATTAAGTTGTAGTTACAAACTTAGAATTAAAATTACCAACTTTGAGAGTTTTTCTATTTTTTGTTTCAAATACTAATCATTTAAGACGTCATATTATTAAATATATTGGATCACCTAAATATTAAGATGTTGAGGTTATGTTGGATAACAAAACTGGTTTATTGAAGTAGTGAAAATTTAATCTTAAGACTTATAAAGATACAATTGCTAAGTATATCATCAAGCATGATCTTCCATATAATTATGTTGAATTTGAAGGAGTTTGGACAGTAAATAAAATGTCAAATCTTAACTTCAAGATTAATTATGAAAGTATTTCAATAGTTGATCATAATAAAATGTTTTTAATTGAAAAAAAAATAAAAATATATTAACTATTATTCAAGGTAGAATATATTTGACTTTTGTTATGTAGACAATTGTAATTATCTAAGACTACATGGCTATGACTAACTGACTTCTCATTTGTAGTTAATATATATTATCAATTAATTATATTATAATTTTTTTATTGTAAAAAGATAAATTTAATTTTTAAATATATTTTTTAATTTGATCAATTTAGTCTAATAACCCGACAAGGGTCAAGTTCATCAAAAAATGACAGAAAAAAAAAAACAAGTTAGATTGAACTAGATTAATCAAACATATTGAATAAAGTAAAAGTGAATTTATTTTGATTTTAACAATACTCATAAAATTTATGGGTGGTCATGTAGTCTTACTAAAGTTAGTGTTGTTCTTTCTCTCGATCTACTTTTTTTCTTTAACAATTTATCAAGTATAATTTATTTACTTGAATTTATGTTTAAAAGCTTCTTGTTGGAAGGCAGAAAGGACAAAGTCAATCCATTGATGGTGCGTTTGAGAGATAGGAAAGAAATAGGTGAAAAATATATAGGTGTGAGAAAATAGATTAAAAAAAATTATAATAAGAATTTGATTATCTAGTTGGAGAGAAATAAATAAGAAATAATATTATATATATTTGATAAGATAGAAAGAACTAGGTAAGAAATAAATTATATAAAAAGAGAAGAAAGAATAAAAATATAAATAAGTAAAAAAATAGAAAAATAAATTTTATCTTTATTAAATATATTTTTATTTTAATCAATTAAATAAAATTATATAACTAAATAAATAATATTTTGAAATAAATAAATAACTAATTTAAAGTAAGTAAAAATTTCTAAATTAAAATTAAATTAGATTAAAAATTCATTAAGATAATAAATTTAAATTAAGTAAATAAACTTAAAGTATATGTACAATTAAAAAATATATATAATTTAAATTTCCATGGAATAATTATTTTTTTTGTAATCAATTGAAAGTTTCGAAAATAAACCTTTTCAAATGTAAAAGTAATCGAAAAAAAAAAACTTTTATTTATTCGATAAAATAAAAAGTTTTTAAGATATCAATATAGAAAAACAATTGAATCGATTGCGAATAATATGCTAATCAATTACGAATAAATTTCAACATTTTTATAATTTAATCGATTTTAACAAATTATTATTGTTTTTTGTTTCTTCGTCATTTCGTTATTCTCTATCTTATTTCTTCACCATTTCTCACCAACCAAACGAAGCGTGAGTTGCATGTCATAAAAATTGTTTAGAGAAAAAGGATGAAAGATTAATGGGATAAAGAACCTTAAGGCCTTAATGAATGGAGACACATTTATTGCGGTATAAGGTCCTAGATTACAAGCATAGAGTAAAAAGATGCAGTGGTTAAGTGCAAGAGGAAATGTTGTAAATGATGGTTAGACAAGAACTCCATGCACGTAGATAATACAGATTTTGATTCAAATTGATTTAAGTCAATAATGAAAAAGGTGGCTGGTGGAGGAGGATATTATATTTTGGCAACAA